TGCAAGTGCGCCTGCGTACCTACGCATTTGCTTAATTGCAATCGCTATAATAATAAATTGATTATTGAATCAAAAATTTCTCTTCAAAACTGGAGTACTTATACCGATTTTCAACAACATCTGAAGACATTCATCATATAATAAACTTCACTTGTAAGTCTTTGACGTTTTGAAACATATAAGAGCATAATATATTATTCTCATTCTGATTATTCTCCTAAACAACTAGCTATAGAGACCAAACTGTTATTAAAGATCAACTGTGCACTCACCAGGATCTCTTCGTAAATGCGAACCTTTTAAGCTTTTATGGAAACAAAATCTTCGATGAGATTACCAAAGTCCAAGTCTCTGGCAATCTCGTTTTAAATATACAATATACCAAGCTGTTTAGCCTTTCTTCCAGCATTGTTATTCTCAAGTATGTCTTTATAAGTTTTACCTTAGAAAAGCTTCTTTCACTTGATGCAAAATCAACGGAATGGTGAGAAGAATCCGAAGAGCAATGTTAAAATACGTACATAAAGCCAAATATTTTTGTGATGTGTTCTTAGTTGTTCTAATCTGCTGTTAAGACCTGTGTTCAATACCCTATTGAAGCAATGTACACGGAAAGCTTCCTGTGCATCTGTGACAGGTTCATTGTCATCAAACATCTTCCTCCTTCTTCGTATTTTAGTTTCCTTGAAAACTGGATCTGTCTGCAGATCATTTCCAGTTGCTCTTGGAAACACTTGTCAGTACAGTTTCGAAACAACTTTCCCGTTATTCTTTTAGCCACTTGCATGTGCTCTCTGAACTTTGTACTGCACTTGCTAATTTTGCCACTTTGTAGTTCTTTATGGACATGGTTGACATGGAACAAAATGTCATACCAACAAAGAACTTGAAATTATTCAGTTCTTTGCACGGAGATTCTGCTTCACTGTTAGCTTGGCGATCATTTGTCATCTCTGCAATTTTGACAAATGCATCATAGAACTCCGGAGTCTGATTCCTGGTAACTTTAACACCCTCAACACGGAACTCTCATCGCGTTTCATTCAGAGGTTTGGCATACAGGTGCTTCCCAAACTAAAAAAAATAGTCCATCACGGTGTTGATGCCAATTCAAGGAGAAACATTAGATGAACCAGCTGAGACATAACAAATAGCCAATAGTCTGGAATACAGTTTAATATCACAGAATAATATTTAGCAGATTTTATTGTGTGTACAATGTTTGTTCGCATAAGAGAAATCAGCTCATTCTGTATTTACTTTCCCAATAGTGGTTATAATATTTCTTCATCTTTCACTCTTCTCAGGTGTTCCTCCACGGTTGGATCAAATTTCGTTATAAACTGTACAAGTGTGTGGCTAGCACAGTTTTTCCACTGAACCATGGAATGTCATGTTGTCCTCAGTTAGACACTGTACGATGGCAAGGAAATGTTCAAAAGCATTTTTCCAGTGAACTCTTTCATTGTTGAATAGTTGTAGGCTTAGCTTATCCACAGTGCATCCGTTGTTCAATCTTTGTTTGAGTTCGAACCATTGCAGGGTAGCTGTCGTGTGTCCATTTGACTTTTCTTGTTCAGACAGATGTACACTAGCATTGACCCAATAACATAATCCACCAGATTCTAAAGCCATGTTACAGTTACGAAAGAGCTTGTTGTAGAAACAAAAAACACAATCCTACGACGTGGAGTACACGAGCCATTGACGATTTACAATTTCTCTATTTGTTATATTTCGTTTCTAGTAGCTTTGTGAAAACGTTTGTCTTGTGTGGTACTTTGGAAAGTCATCCTTTTCAAATTTGTGTGGATCTTTCCTTACAAAGAAATAATAGTTAGCCATACTTGCATGTTCTGGCCAAAACGCAGGACCTTCAAAATTCGGCATGTATATGTCTTCATTCAGTTCATGTATCGTTTTCTTTTTTACTACAACAGAAAGACCCCCAATGGCACAGCGGTATGTCTGTGGACTTACAACGCTAGAATTCGGGTTTCGACACCCGTGGTGGGCAGAGCACAGATAGCCCATTGTGTAGGTTTGTGCTTAATTACAAACAAATACAACAGTAATTAATAACTAATACATATTGTTAAACATTAATGTGCACTTCAGATATACCAAGTGGTACAAAACATATGTGAATGCCTCATTTTCCGACTTGATGAATGAACACTTGTGTAACCATGATGTACGTGCGTCATTTACCATCAATAAGGGATAGCCTTCTGGTTCGTTTCATCTAAACTAAAGCCATGTGTTTTAAAAACTGAGTATGCATCACAATTCATTTACTGCGGATCTGTGTTATATCCAAGTTCTCTCACTGGTTTTACAACCTCCCTCCACTTTGAGTCTTAACATTGCTCTTAAAAATATTTATCGTAGTACATAAGCTTTTATTTAATATTCAGGTGATTATTTCTAATTATAGTTTTGTGTTTACTGTAGGATTTACTGAAGACAGAATGTGTATATTCCGAAAACTTCAATAAATAAGTTGTTATTCGTCACTTCTGTGGTTATATTGTTCTTCTTTAGACTATTTTTTGTCGCGTCATGTATCTGTAAGTGCTATGGATATGAAATTCTGCTCTTTTTCAGGAAATCGATTTCAAATTTAAAAACAGTTAACTTGGACATCACGTTTCTTATGGAATAAAACCTGCAAGATTATCCCTAAGTTTCTGCAACTTAGAACTTGCAAACCGTCACCCCCAGACAAGCTCCACCCATCTCTATCAACAATGTGTCTACTCGACCAGAAACTGAAGCTCAAAGATCACGCACACGTCTCCTCGCTGATAGAGTCGGCTCCTTACTGTCCGAGTTACAATCAATTGAAGTGAGAACTGAGCGAAGTACAAGTTGCTGCCGACGAAAGCCTTTTTGTTTAGTACAAGACTTCATAATAGGGCCAGGAAAGAAAAGTTTTATAAAAACAAAATTTGTATATTATCGATCTTATTAGGAGTTAAATACTGTAATTATTGTTAATTAATCAAACTCGTTCTGTCAATAAAACCAAGGGCGTCACTTGGGAATGGGGAGCGATATAAATGGCCGTCTCATTTCTTTATGCTCGGAAACGTGCTCAAAATGGCAGTTTCTTTAAGTTATTTTTAACGAGGCCGGATTAACATACATAGGCTATATACGCCATAGCATAGGGACCCCAACTGAATTGGGGGACCCACTCGAGGTCACTCCGTCATGTCTCCTCCCTCAAGCCCATTGTGAAATGACGCTCCTGAGTAAAATTATGAACATATTCAGACATGTAAACGTATTTAACAATCTTATGTCATTCGCTCTGCCAATTAAATCGCTCAACGTGATCCTCAGACTCCAGTCATCAAACAAAACTGCATTTTCAACACGATCTTTGTATTCTTCTCTTACTATATATCTGAAAAGTGTGGAAAGAAATAATGTAATAATAAGATTTAATTAATTACCATAAGGCTTTGAACTAAAATATATCTATGTTAATAAAGAAAATATCCTAAATTACGTCAAAACTGTAGATGGTTGTGAGTGTAAAAAAATAATAATCAAGGTTTTCTTAATTAACAATTGGAAAACTTGAGTGCTATATCTTCCCTTGACGGCAAACGACTAAAGTGTATAAGGTTAAAAGATTACTAAGTTATTTGATTCTAAAAGAATTTGATTTTTACTAGTAAACAGACCTTCACCGGTTACGTCATTTCTCGAGCTTGCTGTTGCATACAACATTTCTCCTGTCCCTAAATCTTCGGTTATAATATTTCAGTAAAGGTTCACTTACGTCATGTCATGACGTCCCTTGTAATCCATCATATATAAAGATATAATAACGTACGGCTGTCGAGTCTACTACAAGTACCTCGGAGGTAAGGCAACTTTATTTCTTGGTTTGAATAGCTTTACACTATTACTAATGCGTAATATATAATCTTAGGACTTCAACATATATTCATTTTTAGGAATTCCGAAAGTTGATAGTGCACAGAGGTGTAATAGATGTAATTTAACGTGGGAGAGGGCACAAGATTTATTTGACCAAGCGAAGCGAGCGAATGTGCATCACAGGAACACCCATTACGCCCAGGATCCAGGGCTCGCCTTAGGTTCTGGAAGTGGAAGCTCTTTGGTTCCGGATTAAATTGTATGCATTCTCCTGCTTTTCCCAGGCGTAAATTTCCACATTTTCATGCATTTTTAGTGAAACAGATTGAAAAGTGGGGAGAGGGGGTCTATGCCCTACGCCACTGGTACAGAATTTCGTAAATAGAATTACAATACAAGTCAAAAATAACAAATAATATTTCAGCGGTTTTATATAAAAGTTACCACGAAGGTGAAAAAAAATGCACCTTTACGTCTCTATGGGTTGCTTTTGAGAAACATATTTAATAACTGGAGTTTATTGTGTAAATAATACATTTTATCTTAAAATATACTGTTGCTTTAAGAGTGTTTTATTTATAAGATTAAAATACGCGCTTTATATACAGCAGCGTTTTCCAAACTTTTTTGGCCACGGATCACTTTTCAGCTGAGAAAAAGCTTACGGTACACTAAACACGTGAAATATCAATGTATAGGGTATGTTGTGCGCGCAGTGCCATCTAGAGTTGTATATTATTTATTTAATGAAATTACATATTAATGAATTTTTCATTTTTGTGCTTATAATATATTTTAGGTACAAACCTCTCCACTAAGATATTATGTAGAATAGATATGGCATCTTCTATAATTCTTCTTCAATTCGAAATCGATATTATCTAATTCTAATACATAGGAAATTATTTCATAATAAGTTACGATCGTACAAAAAGTGTTAAATATTTTACTGAAATTTAAAATCGTGATTTTCTTAAGGAGCACATATCAATCTCGACGGCCCCCCAGTGGCACAGCGGCATGTCTGCGGACTTACAACGCTAGAAACCGAGTTTCGATATCCGTGGTGGGCAGAGCACAGATAGCCCATTGTGTAGCTTTGTGCTTAACTTTAAAACAAACAAACAATCTCGGACGGAACACCAGTGCTCCGCGGAACATAGTTTGGGAAACGCTGATATAGAACATTAAATAATAAGTCTCCCGGTGGGACAGCGGTAAGTTTACTGACTTGCAACACAAAATTCTGGGGTCGATTTCCAGCGGTCGACACAGCAGTTAGCTCAATGCAGCCTTTTTCTACAACAAACAAACACACAATTATTAAGTAATAATAACAAAATATGTTAAATCCCTTGTCTCCAAAGTGAGTTTAGACGAATACAAGAATGCAAACTGATTAAAACTTATTTGAGTTAACAAGAGTATAGAACCCTTACTCTTCAGTTAGACTTTTTTGTTTCTTTTGATGTTGTAAATGCAATAACGAATTTGAACATTGCGTAAATCATGAAATGTCTAAACTACGATAGAAATGTATATCTTGTATCCATATCTCTTTTACCCCAGTTTCTACGCAGAGCGTGATTTTATATTTATATTTTTTTTTCGTTAACGAGACCCCAAACCATGGAACCTCATTTCAATAATCCGACCCACTAACCAGTGGGCTGCACTTGGTCTCGGTTATTTCGGATCCTTTTTATTTTATTTCAAAACGATCATATTTAGCTTCCTCTTAAAGGTAGTTCTTAGAAAGTTCGTACAATGTTTAAACGTTTATTTATTGTTTTTAAATTCAAGCATGTTATCGTTACTATTCTCAATAAACAGTGCAGTGAGAGCCAGAAGACTTTGACAGAAAACGCGATGGAGGATGCATTTTGAGGAACAAGTGCGTTATAACAGTGACGGTTATATCCCACTATTAGCCTAAGACTTGATGATGAGAGCGTTGGTGACCAGCGCTATCTCCCCCTCTAGTCCATCGGTTAGAAATTAGGAACTGCTGGTACAGATATCTCTTGTGTAGCTTTGAGCAAATATTCAAAGCAAACAAAAGTTGGACGCATTCCAAAATTCAAGATACTAATCAGCGTAGAAACTACCATGACGCCATGGCTGGTTTAACACATTTTGTTCACATATTCCAGATGGACTTCAGGGATAAGAAAAATGGTCGGCATAGCTTTAAATTAAGTGAGAAAACGGGAGGTCTGATGACGCGTGCTGATACAGAGTAGACGATTAAAGAGCAGAAATTCGGAATCATGTCCTTAGTGCATGCACGTGTATTCAAATTTACTTGGATAGTATGTTTTGTTATCTTTTCTTTTGGACTGGTGATGGTTCTGTTACTTTGAGCTGGAACTTTGGACTGACTGCTGTCTGAAGGTCACTACTTGCTCTACGTTCTATATCACCATAAATAATGGAGAAAAATTCTCGCTTCATCGCCCTTTGGGACATTAGTACTCATTGTTTCTCTGGTCTTCTGTAAGTACAAGTTAGGTTCATCCATTTCATATCACAAAGGTCACCCGTGAACCCTCTAATCTTCCGGAATATATTGGCTACCTTCTCTCACAGCTTTTGGTTTTTACATTTTCGACTTTTTGAAAGCCATTGCTCCCCCAATGGTTTAGTGCAAGTCTGAAGGCTTATAACGCAAAACAAAACAAAAAAATAACGAGTTTTGTATACTCGTCTTGAGGGCACGGCACGGATAGCCCACTTGTGTAGCTTTGTGCGTAATATCAAACAAACAATTATATATATATATATATATATACATCCTTCTAGACAAAACTGTGACAGTGAAGGTTGAGGCTACACAAGATACTGATTGATCCACATGCACCCTTTTACTGAAACACATTTACCAAACATACAGCGATAAATGTATATTATTTAAATGATATCAGATTCGATTGTTACAATTGTACACTATAGAATACATCAGTGTAAAACTATAATCCACTGACACTGAAATTCTGTTTGTGTAGTGAAAAATTAAAATTTCTTCTATGTGATACGTTTGGGCTCTGTGTAAACTGACTAAAAACTAACTGGTGTTCATGAACAAAATAAAATTTCAAATATTTATAACTATTAAATCATGGGATTGTGAATTTCTCTATACTTCCTTTAGTGAGGAAATCAGCAATTATATTTGTTAATAGTTGATCATAACTTTTGAGGAAGGAAGTTGGTGAGGATATTTGTTAAGGACGTTGCCTATAACACGAAGGTGCCGGATGTGAATGTGACAAGGTTCCATACTCGAATATCTAAAGTAATTGCGACAATTTCTCTGCGGATGCTGGCACACGAGGTGGAAGATCGATTATCATCTGGACATTCTTCGAGTCATAAACAGTACTCGTGTTGAGGTGTATTAACAGCGTCACTGACCACGAGAAAAACGTGGGATATTAGTCTCCAGTGTACTACAGTTGTAATTCTCACAAAATAAATAAATACAACTGGGAATTTAAAAACCTGTAAGTAGGGATCGTAAAAAAAAAAAAAAGTACGGAAACAATGCTGGAGATAACGTAAACATTAATTACTGAAACCACAAACCCTTATTTTGGCTCCATGCTGTTAACTAGAATTACTTCTGGTAGAGTCAAAATAAGAATCTGTAGTTTGAGTAAATAATGTCTACAGTATCTCCAGTCTTATTTCTTTACTTTTATATATAGGTAGTAGCTAGCTGATACGGTTCGTGATGATTTACTGTAGCTATTGACTATTTGATTGCATTAGTTCGAGATGTAAAATGATAAGTTGCAATAGCAAAAAAAAGTAAACAAAGAAGCTTAAGGTTTGAGACATAGTGTTGACATTATTTTCTCAAGCTACAAATCCTTATCTTGATTCTCCTAAGTATTACAGCTTTAGACATACAGTCGAAATAGGGAATTGTAGCTTCAGGAAATAATGCCAATACTATGTCTCAAACTTTAAGCTTGTTTGTTTTACTTTTTTTTTTGCGATTGCATTTTCACTTTAAGCTACCTATCTTATTTCTGTAATTTTCTGAAGATCCCTATTTGCACTTTATAGATTTAATAATCTTGTTTTAGATAAAGTTAGAAATACGAGTATATTCCACCTCTTGGCTGTGCGAAAAGATTGAAGACTCATATTCATTTATTTATAGTTAAACATAAAGCTACACAATAGGTTATCTATGTTGTTATCACCACGGGTATCGAAACCCGATTTTTAGCGTTATAAGTCCACAGACATGCCGCTGAGCCACGGAGGACCTGAGGACTTATAACGTTTAAATGTGGTTTCGATACCTGAATTGGGCGCAGCACAGATAGCTCTTTTATGTTTGTTTGGAATTAAGCACAAAGCTACACAATGGGCTATCTGTGCTCTGCCCACCACGGGTATCGAAACCCGGTTTCTAGCGTTGAGAGTTCGCAAACATACCGCTGTGCCACTGGGGGGCGCTCTTTTATGTAGATTTGCGTATAACAAATTATTAAAAATACCAGTGACTTGTGTTAGAATTTAACGAACTCTGAAAGTGAACATTAGGCCTGGGAAATTAATAAGAAATATGGGTGTGATATCAGACTTATGTATATCAAGCATTAAAAAACAACAACAAAAAACTACCTCTTATGAATAGAAACTCGCTGTAATAACAAGAAAACGTTAAAAGACAACTAAAATGAGATTTGGCATTAGGTAGCTGTCAAATGATACCTTTTTCACAAAAGGATAGCGAAAATCCGATATCCTATCTCTAATTGACTTTGATGGTTAACTTTGCCAAATGCTTTTATGCACTGCTAAGCACAAAGTAGACATAAATCTTCCTAGCAAGGTTGATTTTACCCTAATTCATTTTATAGCAAGGGGGTCAGGAGAACTTCCCCGGCGGACGCTCGGTAGTGCAACGGAAAAAGCTGTCAAATGTACTTATTAAAAAAAAAGAAATAAAAATATTTTTAGCTAAAGTTCTTGGGTAAATCAGCTAGTAGATACAAAAGAAAAATTGCATTTAATAACTTCTAAAAGCTTAACTTAATATCATTCTACGTTATAATTACTTGTATTCATAACTTTATCTGCCTGCCTTTTCTGAAGTTATTATTTAAAGCAGCCTTGAGCACCAGGTTGTGCTAACTTATTTTTATCTTTTCGTAGGATTCCTTCTCGACTTTAAGACTCGCTCCGACTTAGGTAGGCTCGTCGCAATAAAGCTTTCTCACTTAGTACTACAAGAAATCTGTAATATTCGAGATGAACTTAAAAAGTTTTAATGTTTGAATAATAGCTCTTTATATTGTTATTGTAAGTTAATAGTAAACTTTGGTGTATTGGTCTTAGTCATTATTTGCTATTAGTATTATTAATAATGATATAGTATTATTAGTTATTAACATTGTCATTAGCAAGCATGTGTTTTACACAAACTACCCATATTTTTGCGTGCGTGAAAGTACCACGTGGTTGTGTATTACATTCACCACAGCTTAGTAATAAGGAACTGTTGATAGTAATATTATTAATACCATTTCTGGTCTGATAGTGGATATAGGTGGAAAAATAGCTTTTATGTTTTAGTTAGAAACTGATACACATTACAGACCATCAGATGATACTTGTAATTATAGTGAGATTAAGATTTCAGCTGTTAATTTATGAGGTTATAACTTATAATTATGAGGAATTTTAGGAGAATATATGTTTACAAATGGACATTGTTTAATAGGTTTAATGCTTTATTGCATATGGAGATTAGGAATGATGGGACTTTTAATTACAAATGTAAAAAACAAATTTTGAAGGGATGCAACAAGAATTATATATTGTCAATTGGGCAACTGAATTAATTGAAGATACCAATTTAATATGGAAAATATATATATTCAAAATAGACATGCTCTTTATAGAGAGAGAGAGAAAAAAAAATGGGTGGCTGCAAGCAGAATACCATGTTGGCTTGCAAAAAGTATAAGAGATCAAATTAAAGAAAAGCATTATAAATTGGAGAAATTTAAATTGATTGCTATGAATGGAGGATTAAAGAAGATCAAGAAAGTTGGCCAAAACAGGAAATTATGAAATCAAAATATGTATATGAAAAAAGGTTAGTTAAAAGCTTACAAATGAAGTATACATTTAAGTGTAAACAAAATTTTAGGATGGAAGTAGGGTCTTTTGAGAGATCATAAAAGATGGCTGGGATACTAAATTTTGCTTTTTTTTTCTTCAATTTTTATTAATGAAGATTTAAGCAGTATTCCATATCCTGAACAGTTACTAGATGCAATGATCAACTAAGGTGATCACATTAATTATAAGTTTGTTAAGAAAAAGTTGGGAAGCGTGAAGAATGATAAGGCTCCTTGCATGACCAGATAATTTCTCCAAGGGTTTGAAGGAGGTTAAGGATTGGATACGAGTCACTTGCTAATGTTTTTTGAAAGCCCTTGAATAGTGGAAAGGTGCCATAAGATTGGAAGTAAGCTTAATATATCCATGTAAGACTAACCTAAATCTTGTAAATTGGTAGAACCTCATGAGATATTATTGGGATTGTAACTGAAATATTGTTAACAGCAAGAACACTCAATTGCTGAAACAATAGATTCTAATCTTTTATAAGTAAAAACTTAGGAAAAGAGTGTTTGATTAGCTATACTCATTACTATGTTGATTTTTTTATTTTATTTTATTTACTTTAAGTGGGTAGCTTGTTCTGAACAAAAGTTAATACTGATTACTCTCCTTTTCCAAAGGAGCTGGAGAATTGTTCAGGTAATTACAGTAGTGGTAGGAAGAATTTTGTTGAATGATTAATAACATGGTTTCCCAACTGAGAAAATCTTGCATTACTAATCTTTTGACATTTCTTGAGGAGGTTAGAGCTTCTTTAGATGAGAGTAGGGGGTAGGTTTCATGCATCTGGATTTTCAGAAAGCATTTGGCAATTTACTACACAAAATGCTTGTTGAAAAAATATCTTTGTGGGTGTGAGGGATAAGTTGGTTAGTTGTTTTGGAAAATAACTAGAGGAAAGAAGGCAGAGGCTTGTTTCAAATTGAATTTGGTCAAACTGGATTAATGTCACAAAAAATAGGTACCTCAGGGCTCAGTGTTGAGACCTTTGATCTTTTTGATCTACATCAATGACATAGATGAAGGAATGGTCAATACATTGGTTAAATATTAAGGTTTTGGGTATTGCTTGCTGTAATGCAAGGTACTGTATGTGGGTTATTATAATTTGAAATATAAGTATAGCTAGGATAGGAATGACCTTAAGAGTGTTATGGAAGAAAAGGATCTTGGTGTTTTGGTTTATCAGTCTATTAAGCCATCCAAAAAACAGGGCAAATAGGACTTTAGGATGTTTTTACAGAAATATCGAAAAGAAGTCTAAAGAAGTTACAATTTAATTATACATGTCACTGGTTTGGCCTCATCTGGAGTATTGTGTTTAGTCTTGGGCTCCTTACCTTAAGAAGGATATTGAATTGTTGGAAAGGGTTGAAAGAAGGGCTACTTGGATGAAAGGTTGTCATACAAATTAAGATATCTGAAATTGGTTGTTTTCTCTTGAATGAAAAGAAGCGTTGCAAAGAATCTGGTTGAAATGTTTACTGTTTAGGACAAGAGGACAACAATATAAATTTTAGTAGGGTAGGAGTCATCTTCAGCTAAGACAGCCTTAATGAACAAGCATGTCCCTTGTTGTCCTTATATGCAAAGAATCTGGTTGAAATGTTTACTGTTTAGACAAGAGGACAACAATATAAATTTTAGTAGGGTAGGAGTCATCTTCAGCTAAGACAGCCTTGATGAACAAGCATGTCCCTTGTTGTCCTTATATGTTATGTTATTGAACTTTTTTTTGCTACCATTTGGCAGAATAGACAAAGTTTAAAAGTTTTTTGTTAGAAAACTGTACGGTATTTTCAGGTCAAACTAGTTTTTCTTTGAGTGGATGGGATACATTTGCTGAATAACAGGAGATTTGAAAATACATCTATAACAGAGTAGTCCTAAATATATTTTAAACCACTGTGTTTGAGAGAACAAAATAAAGAGACTGGACACAGTGTAAAATTAAAATGAACAGTCTTTATTAAGACACACACGCTTGGTTAGCAGAGGATTGTTACTTTTACTGGATCAACTACCTGAATATTTATTCAAGATGGTATCTCAGGCTTTCCCCGTCAATGGTATATATCGGACTGTTTAAATCTAATGTTCCTTACTTAATTGGTACTGTTGTATTTACCCAGAGTGACTAGTGCTATCCACTTGACTGTTCATTCTCATTTAAACATAAAGATATTGTAACCTTGAGATATCACCTGACCTGACATTGGAGAACACTATTGTCTAACTTCTTGCCCAACATCCAACCCTCCCTCCCATGGACAGACCAGTTTTTACCTCAAGAGAATGACAAAAGAACAAAGGCAACCAGAACAAAGTAAATTTAATGACTAAGTATTGTTTCTTGGCACTTGTGTATAATGGTAAAATAATAACACACAAGGTTAAAATGGAAAGGGATTTAACCTGAATATTGTAGATAGAGCATTTAAAAAAATTTACTAATGTTGTAATAGTGGATGAAAGTATAACTTTAGAAGATAAATAAAATAAAATAGATAAATAAGATAAAGTAAATATTAGCTTATATTAACAACCAGCTGGAGTACCAACCTGTTGGATGGGTGAAATAAAAACTTGTTTGTAACAAAGAATAAGAAATTGTGCTTCAATTTTGTTTTCTTTCCTTAACATAATAAACATTAAAAGTGCAATAAAGGTATCAATACTGAAAAGAAAGACACACCGTTTTCAATAATTCTATCAATATGACACACATATTTTGACATTTATTTATATAGGTAATGTACAGTTAATGGAAAAAGCTATAATTTATAAAAATTGAATGTGGCAATAATTTATAACAAAACATAATCTAAAATACTGTTTAATTGAGCATAAAGAATATGTAATAAATGAAAAAAAACTGTAAACTTACATAGTAATATGTATTTATTTAATTTTTGTAGAAGTAAAATTCATCCTGTCAGCATGTTCTCTTCAAAGGCTCTGTCTTGGCTAAGATGTTTCCATAACACTCTTCCTGTGATGGTGAGATCATCTTCTTCAGCAGCTACATTGTATCATATGAACTCCCAAGCCATATTTGAAAGAGAGTCTAAATATGGTGCTCATAATTACCACCCCATACCTGTAGCACTTCATAAAGGAGAAGGTACGGAACATACAAGCCCTAAATTTTATTTGTATTTGTAGAGTTGTTTTTATAAGCTATGAAAATAAGCACAATATATTGTTTAAAAAAAAAAATCTCAAGGCTTCATAATTTATGATGGTTGTAATTTGCATAGAACATAAAAATGGACAACTATCTCGAGCCCCTTTATGAGGTAGTCTTTTCTTTATTACTTTTCACAAGAGGTTTGCTCTGACTTTTAGGAAAGCTCATCCCCGTGATTGCTGTACATCATTGTTTAATTTGTTGAAAATATCTATGCTGTAAGTCAAAGTTAGATTGTAGATAATAATGGAGAGATATTTTCTCCTATGTCTTGTGTAAAAAATTGTGTAATTTACTTAAGGTTCATAAATGTTGCTGTTTTTTAACTGTTCAAATAAAATCTTGGTAAAATATTGCAGGATGACTCGAGTATATTCATAGTTTAAGATTATGTATAGATTGAAAGGGGCTCCTTAATACGTAGACAACGTTTAATGGAATCTGTAAAGAGCATGTTAGCATTTTCTTTTTGAACAGAAACATCAGAAAAGAACATTTCAGACACTCTTTTCTAGGCTTTTACTAAACAAAGCTTAAGTATTAAGGAGTCTCTTGCATCTTGCAATCACGACACTATATCTGGCTATTACTATTTTGTAATATTTACTGAGATTTTTTCAAAACTCATTGAAAAATAATTGTTCAAATAGTTTTTTTAAAATGAGGTATATCAGACAATTGTTGGTTCTTCTGAATTTTATTTTGTGAAGCTAGTTGCTCAATTGTTTTTTTACGTATGCAAAAATAAACACAAGTTTTGATTATAATCTTTTAAAAGTGTGCAGTTTTATAAATTGTAAGTAAATAGTAAATTACGATTTCCAAACAGGTTAAAATCTAATGTGTAGGTTATTATCTTTCCTTGAGAAAATAATTTCTTGAAATACATGCCAATAAAAACTTTAAGTAAATTTGGTCGATGATGCATATTATATTTTACAAGTTCCTCGTTATAGAATAACCAAATTTCACAAAAAGGCACATTGAGGACGTTGAGTTTTATTAAGGAAGTCTTGGACATGGTAATTCATAATGAATTACTTTTCTTGCAAGCTAGCATTTGTTTTTCTTCGTTTCCTCTGTCTTTCAAGAATACAAAAATATAATGAGTGTCCATGTTCAGGATATTGAGAGGACCACTGAACTTGCAATAGCTTTATTTCTAAATGGGTTTGTTATCATAATTGAAAATAACAGAACAGAAATTTTATTTAACACCCCCATCTATTACAATTTTTAAAACATGGGCCAGATTGTCTTGAATAAGACCTATTATTCTCCATGTGCTTCTGGTAAAATTTGGCTTCCGTAAAACAAATAGTTTTTAAGACACAAGCAATGTAAGGATGAGGTTGTATTGGTAATCACTTGTGCTATATGTATATAGGAAATCTGGCACCCGTCTGCTTCCTCTATTGGTTTCAGAGAATGTTTTATATCTTACCATTAAATATTTCTCTTAGTTTTTAAAAGCAGAAGTATAGCTGAATCTGTGAAGTGCTACTGATTGGAGATGAAATGTTTTAATATAAGTCTGTGAAAATTTATCTAGAATTTTTTAAAGTATTTTAATTACACTAAGATATTCATCTCTTGTTTATTCATTTAGTCTTTTCAAACATCATATAACGTGTACACGAAAACACATTTTAAAGTAATAAAGGAAGGTTTTTTGACCATGTTAAATGTACTCGTCAGAAATGAAAAGCTACAAAGTTATTCAAATAAGTCTTTCTCTATCTGTATATGGCAAATCTTTTCATTTGTTTTCATTATTTACTCATATGGCAGTTTAAAAATCTATGTAAATTACTTTGGTAGTCCTGTACATGAGCATTGCCTTGCTTGCAGGTGTATTTGTATGGGATGTTGAAGGGAAGAGATACTTTGATTTCCTCAGTGCATACGGTTCTGTTAACCAGGGACATTGCCACCCAAAGATTCTGAAAACGTTTAGAGAGCAAGCAAGTATTGTAACATTGACTTCGAGAGCCTTCTACAACTCTGCTTTAGGAGAGTTTGAAGAGTTTATTACAAACCTGTTTGGATATGATAAGGTTTTACCAATGAATACAGGTATTGTGTTGATTAACTTGGATATGACCATTTTACCATTGAATAGAGCTAGCTGCATTTATGTACATATGGATGTACTTCTGAAACATCCATAAAAGTGTTCTGTTACAAGAGTAAATAAAACCCAAAATTCAGAGTAACAAATATTTTTATTTCTTGCTTTTGAAGTTTGTATGTCATGTTGTGTTTGTATCTTACAGACTGCATAATTTTTCTCGTGATTCGTGGCATAAGCACGTTTTACTGACGTCACGACAGTACAAATTGCAACGTTAAGCATCACTTATGTGATGTCATTTTAATATCTACCGACTGACTGATAGACTACACACTACTTTATAGTGGTGCAGGTGTTTAAAACGGGTGGGAAGGGGCATGAGTTAATATTGTTGTGAGATGTTAAGGAAGGATTAAAAAGTAGCACACGTGTGCAGTCGTATGTGTTTTTATAACTTAAGTTATAAAAGTAAATCTTATTGTCAGAAAATATTTTTTATATTTGCTTTGATCTAATTGATATTTTAAAAAATGTATAAAACCTGCAGAACTGATTGTTTGTTTTTTAATGATTTTGGCATCGCATTATAAAAGGCTTAATGTGACACAACCATATCCTGCAAATTGTTGGAATGGCATCACAGTACTAAAGATTTTAGTAAACAAAACAAAACCTTTTTTTGAACTATTTTAGAAAATTGTACACACGGTAGAATTGTTTTAAGCTGTTTGTTTTGATCTTCTGATAGGAGTGGAAGCGGGTGAGACTTCTTGTAAACTGGCTAGAAAGTGGGGCTATGAAGTTAAAGGAATCCCTAAAAATTCAGCAAAGATTGTGTTTGCAGAAGGGAATTTTTGGGGACGTACCATGGGAGCTATATCTAGTTCGACCGACCCCGAGAGCTATGAGGGGTTTGGTCCTTTTATGCCTGGCTATGTTATCGTTCCATATAATGATTTAACTGCTCTTGATGTAAGTCTAACATAAATACTAACTTAAATCATTCTTAATTCAGGCTCTGAGATGTTTGTGTAATGTAGAAATCAACTTGCAACTTGATGACATATTTTATAATTTCACAAAAGCTCAGATTGTAATAACACAGTTTAATTTCTAATTACCTTTTGCTACGTGGATGGATAATGTAATTTATATAATTAAAGAAGGAAACTAACATTTCTATACTGTTTCATTGCATATAATACTTTTAAGTAGTTTATTTTCTTGAATCATCACCAATTACCCAGATTTCTTCTTTGCCTCACAGAGGGCTTTGCAGGATCCACACATTTGTGCCTTCATGATAGAACCGATCCAAGCTGAAGCAGGTATTATAGTTCCTGAGGCTGGCTACTTGACAGGTGTACGAGAACTGTGTACCAAACATAATGTTTTGTTGATAGCTGATGAAGTACAAACTGGACTAGCAAGGACAGGCAGGTATGAAATATCAAAATTCTGTCTCATCAAAGATGAAACATGTTTATTCTGTACATGTTTGAGCTTCTCATAAAATATCATACTGTAGCAGTTTTCAATTTCATCAGAAAATAAAAAAGTAATTGTCTGGATTTCTTTGCATAATTGTTATTATGGAGATATGGCAGGTTTTTTTTTAATGATTATCTTAATGGTACTTGTAAGAAACTGTATCTTAAAACTAAATGTGTGAGTTGTTAATGTGTCTTACTAGCAAGCGGTTGTGGATTAACCCTTTATCTGAGTTAGTAGAACACATGCCTGTTGTGCAAGAGGTTCATGTCCGAGCCAAGAAAATAAAATTTAAGTTATTACACATGTAATTTGACCTTTTAATAGGAAAATATAATTTCAAGAAACTAAATCTTTTTCCTTTTTTTTTTCCAGGCGGTTGTGTGTGAACCATGAAAATGTACGACCAGATGTCTTGATGCTAGGGAAAGCTCTCTCTGGTGGATTTTATCCAGTAAGTGTAAATATTCTGATGTTAGATTATTATTATTATTTTAAACATGGATTTTATACATTAAAGATCGCAGTGTCTGCATATTTTCAAACCTAGATTTCATTTTGTATTTGTCTCCCAGTTATTAATTTAAGAACAGCATGATACTTGTAGAACTGATTTCAAAGTAATAAGAATTAAATGCTTTTTTTTTTTCAGGTGTCTGCTGTTTTAGCAGATGACTCTATTATGCATGTGATCAAACCAGGACAACATGGTTCAACTTATGGTGGGAATCCTCTGGGTGCTAAAGTAGCCATCACTGCTCTTCAGGTAAAAATTTGAACTAAACTATTTCAAAACTGCAAAATAAATATTGTATTTTATGTTATTTTTCAACTCTTTCATTTTTTTATCTCATAAAACTCCAGTCACCATATAGATAGCTAATAACAAAGTATAATTTTCAATATTTTTACTTTAATGCTATTATTTACCTTTGCACTAATGATACTTTTCCATCAACACTATTTTCAAATGATATCACTACACATGAAATGCTTTAGAAGTTTTATGAAGAACTAAACATACCCGAAAGTTGTCAAAGAAATATATTTGTTTTTTAAAACCTATAAGTGCATATGAAATGAAGCGTTTGTTTTTTCAAGGTTTTGGATGAAGAAAAATTGGCTGAAAATGCTGAAAAAATGGGACAGATTCTAAGGGGTGAATTACAAAAACTACCAAAAGAAATTGTAAAGACTGTCAGAGGGAAGGGTTTACTGAATGCTATTGTTATTACTGAAAGTAAGTTTCTTTCTTTCTTTGTGTGTATGTGTGACAAAAGAACACCATTTTTCAAAACTATATGATATGTACAGAGTAGTCCAAAAGTTAGTTTCGTTTCTTGAAATCCTTCTGTGTGAATAGAATTTGATTTGCAGCAACAAATTTTATTGATTCTTTCTTTAATCTATATGCCATGTTTATTTATGGTACAAGAAAGAGCATTATATTTGCATTGAAACATATTTGTTACTGGAATGAATTTTTTACTTGGTCTTTAATTACCATTCAAATACTTCAAACTTTTCCAATTTTTGTTTTTAGTTTTCAAAGCTACATAATAACCCTTATCACTATAAACCACTGGATATTACTGCCTTAAGCTTTGAAATGCAAGATATAGGGTAGCTTTTGAAAATATCGAAAGAGAAATTCAAATGTTTTGTAGCTTCAGAAAATATGAACTAAATGCAAAGTTAAGGTTTGTCTGGAACACTGACAAAATAACCATGTAAGTAAAAATTTACCCTCGTGTTTGGTGTACGTGGAACCAAACTGTTACAAAGAACTTCATACAAATTGCTTCTAACTTCTGCAAGTTTTCCTGATATGCAAGGAAGTAGTGTATGTGTTTGAATAATTGCATATTAAAATTCCAACAAGCTGATGCCTTAACCCTATTTTTATGTGTGGCTTACCTGTCAAAAAGCAATTCACTGGTTAATTCGTCGCTTAATAATTCAATACGTTGATAGGCAACAGTTTAAAATTATCATAATGTTATTTTTTTAAATCTGATATACTCTTATACAATTGTGTAATGAAGAATGTGCTGAATCAATACTTGTATTGTTCTTCAATAATAGTAACTTTAGGCTAAGTATACGTGTAGCATCCACCAATAAGAATTTATATCAATACCCTTTTCATATTCTACTATTTTCTGTATTTTGTTATAGATTAAAAAAAAGTTTCTTGTTTGAATACACTATTTTTAACTACAAGGTATTAACTGGAGAATTGTGTGGTGTAAAATATTTTTATCCAGATTTTTTTTTTAAATAAAAGTTGTACATTGATCAGATTAACTCTGGTTAATTTTATTTTCTTGTAATTTATGTAGTTTCTTTCTGAAAATACAATTTTCCCTGTAATACATTTAATTATCTATACCCTCAAAATAAAATATGAAAACTGCTTTTTGTTTATTTATTTTTACTTCATATTTTATATTTTGATAATACAGAACATTAACCTTCTATTACATAATTCTACTTAATTGATAGATTATGTATTTATTTTTTCCTGATATTAGTATAACCTGTTAGAAAATTGTATTGTATATCTTTGTAACATAGAATACGATGCATGGGACATATGTCTGAAATTCAGAGATAGAGGCCTTCTGGCAAAACCAACACATGGTGACAAGATCAGATTTTCACCTCCGTTGATCATCACAGAAGAACAGATACAAGAATGCAGTCAGATAGTGAAGGAGACAATTGAATCATTGTTATGAGCAAAAAAGTTTTTGATGTGTTCACTTAAATAACAGGAAAATGCTGTGAATGCAAATAGTGGAATCTGTTTTATAATATTTTAATTTATGTTTATTAGTGGACTGTTGGTGCTTTAAACTTCAAATAAAAGTTTGTTTTATGTACCAGCATTTGTTAGTTTTTTTTGAAGTCTTGCATTATAAATCCTTAAACTTACTGCTGGCCCACCGAAGATTATTGATTATTATGAAGTATCATCTAAATTAGATGTGATAAGGAAAGATATGTTATATATATAAAGTGTTTACCAAATAGTGGAATCTGTTTTATAATATTTTAATTTACGTTTATTAGTGGACTGTTTTTTTAATTTTTGTTTATATGGACTGTTGGTGCTTTAAACTTCAAATAAAAGTTTGTTTTATGTACCAGCATTTGTTAGTTTTTTTTTTGCATTTAACAGAAAACAAGCATTTCCAAAAATGACATTTTTGGGTCATCAGTTGCAAGTTATCAAAATCTTAATTTATTAATTTAAACAAACCCAAATAAAGGATTAATATATGCAAGTGGATATTAATACTTTTTTAGCATGTATTTTTTTTCTGTTGAAATATCTTGGACTAGTTTGTTACCACAAAATGCATTTCTTAGCATGTATTTTTTTTTCTGTTGAACTATCTTGGACTAGTTTGTTACCACAAAATGTGCTTCTTAGTGAGTATTTTTCTTTTGAAATATCTTGAACTAGTTTGTTACCACAAAATGTGTTTCTTAGCATGTATTTTTTTTTTCTGTTGAAATATCTTGGACTAGTTTGTTATCACAAAATGTGCTTCTTAGTGTGTATTTTTTTTTCTGTTGAAATATCTCGGACTAGTTTGTTATCACAAAATGTGCTTCTTAGTGTGTATTTTTATTTATTTTTCTGTTTAAATATTTGGACTAATTTGTTATCACAAAATGCACTTCTTAGCATGTATTTTTTTTTCTGTTGAAATATCTTGGACTAGTTTATCACAAAATGCAATGACTGGCTACCAAACTTTAGCCTCTAAATAGTTGTATATTTTTGTAACACGTCCTTACAGATTCTATTAAAACATTAGTTTGAAGAACAAAACATAATCCAAAATCTATTTTTTTTTTAAGTTTTCACTTTAAAAATCTAAAGGATAATTAAGAAAAGCATTTGTCACAGTTAGAAATTAAAACATTTTATTAACTAAATTTGAGTTTTAAGTGTTAAAAAGTATTTTCATATTGCAGCACATGGTAATTTTCCACTGACTTTCATTTAGCAGGTCCCTTGCCACTATCAGACCTTGTTGCAAACAGTTTGTACACCTATCACAAAACCTTTAGCTCATTTAGCTGCAGATTCTCCTGTTTTCAATTTATTAACTCAAGTTTTTTTTTTTTTACCATCAATAGATCTTTTTCTTTCTAGGTCATTTTAACTAAGGCCTATCGCAACACAATAATACAGCCACGCTAACTATGCCACATGATAGCCTGAGACACAGAGGAGCTCCTGTACAGGAATTGACCTTGATTCGATGGGTATTGGAACACACCCAGTAAGACAATATTATGAACATGTAGAAAGAAACCGTGATTATTATTACTATTATCTATATATATAAAACAATTTTTTTTCTCTCTTCTCCTGCATGGATAATACACAATATGAAAAATCTGGAGTTGAATGTATATGCTTTTCTGAAAATCTAATTTTAAAAGGCTAACAATCTTTGGAAGTACGTCTAGGTAAATATATTAATCAACATCATTAAACACATTACTTGGTTCAATAACAGAAGTGAAATTTGTATAAAAAACTCGTTTTTATAACTCTTTGTCGTATAGGTTTCATATTTATTGGAGACAATGATAAATGACAAAAAAACGTGCATAGTTTACCTGTAAGTTATTGACAAAGGCATCAACATTTTTTAGAACAATAGACTATATTACTTCAAATATACATATTTCATTACTTTGGAAGTAATTTTTATTACAGTAAGTTCTCCAAATATATGTAGTAAAGACAAAATTTGAACATTTTATCAATTTCATTGATTTTCAGAAGGTTTATTGTTAACACGATAATAAATGAATGCACTTTATCAAAATGCATGAACTGCATCAGACAGTAAATATTAAGTTAACAAGGATGAGATAATTAATTTGCAAATAAATCTGAAAAAGAAAGACTCCTTGTAAAAATACATTTGAGTTGATTACTTGTGTCAACTTTTATATTAAATAATTTATACACGCATATTTGCACATCTGACTTTGCTCTTTTTTTCTTTCCAAAAAAAAAAAAAATCATAATTTTATTTAAAATTAGTTAAAGTATAAAAGTAGCCCAAGAATACTAAACTATCTCAAAAACCTTAGATTTGCCCATACAATATCAATACATCATGTTAATGTATAATTTTTGTTTCACCAAAACCTTTATCTAGTTCAAGAAAGAGTACAAAACATCTGATACAATGTTCTCATAATTTAGATATATACAGTTTGCAAGTTAACTTCATAAATATTGTCTCCTATGTTAGAAGCTGATGAATAAAATTGTATATTATTTTTTTACTGTAAATCAATAAATTACAAACCTAATCTGTCATACCTGTAAAATTATTTTTCATTTATACACCACCATTTTGTAGGTTAAGCAAGGAAACTTATCTAACTTGAATATGTACAAGTTTTTCATTCACAGTTGGTTAGGGGTTCATATTTATCAAAAGTGTCTTCTATATCTTCAAGTGAGCGACATTTTGTTTCTGGTAGAACAGTCTTCACAAAAATACAACTACAAAAACATACAATGCTATAGAACCAGAAAACTCCATATTCCTGCATGAGATCTATCATATTTTGGAAAAGCTTTGTCACCAAGAAACTACAGGTCCAACCAAAACATGTTAAGAATCCATCCACCAATCCTCGAGCTCGAAATGGAAGAAGTTCACTGGCCATAAGGGCAGGTATTGGTCCATATCCAAATGAAAATGCCACTGTGTAAAATATAAGAGTGGTGAGAGGTAGCCATCCATAACTCTGCGAAAAGGAACTGTCTATTTTAGTATTAAAATAAAAAAATATTCCTAAGAAACATAGGGTAACTGACATCAGAGACCCCGAGGAAATAAGTAGTGTCTTTCTTCCAAGTCTGTCCATAACCAAACTTGCTATGGCTGTTGAAATGACACCGACAAAAGACATGATAACAGCAGACTGATAACCACCAATCACAGTTGAAGCTGACTGGAAGATTGATACTGAGTAAAACCCAATTGAAGTCATACCACAAAACTGTTGAAAAAGAACTAAGGCAAGGCTCAAAAACAGAGGCTTCACCACAGCTGCCTGACACAAATCTCTGAATGTCATATTCATTCTTGGTCTGATACGCAAGTTATGTTCAATGACCTCAAGCTCTTTTTGTACTGTTACAGTATCGTGGTGAAGAAACTTCAAAGCTTCGAGAGCATCAATAGAGCGTTTCTTGGCTAATAGCCAGCGTGGACTCTCTGGTAGAAACAAACACAAAAAAAGAAGAATTGTTGGAAAAAGTGTACAAAAAAAAGCTAACCACCTCCACGAAATAATCATTCCCACAGCAACAGTAATCAAGTCTCCAATAGTTAAACTCACCTGAATACAAGTTCCCAAAAATCCACGAACATCTGGAGTTGAAATCTCTATCACATACAAGGGTGAACAAAGCGACATTAAGCCACAAGAAAAGCCTGTTACAAACCTTCCAGTCATTAACATAGCAACAGAAGAAGCATATGTAATGAGCAACCATCCCACAAGAAAACAAACTGAAGTTATTAGTAAGGTCCCTTTTCTTCCAAATATTTGAGCACTGGTACCTGAAAATAAAAATTCATCATGTATATATATATATTTACATACAACAATACTGAATGTTTCAAAATTACTTAGATAAATGTTTTATGCGACTCAAAGACGTTCTTTTATAGTTCTATCCATCCCTTTACGGTTGTAGTAACTCAAAGCTATGATCCAATTATTTCACAATCTTTGAAGGCCTTTATTATTCATGTCAAATCATTTGTAAGTCAGTATTTTTAAAGTACCTTGTGTAAAAAAAGGAATTTTTATAATAACTATATTTTCAGCTTAGAAACTGTGAAATGATATAACCAACAATATAGATCTATTCAACTAACAAACTTTTAAGCAAAATTTACTTGGTTAACTTCTGGCCTCATATTATGCAAGCTATATTTTATATGGGTGCTCTGTCAATAATTGGTCCTTGTTAAGATTTTAAAGCAATTTGAATGGAGGGCTACATCACTCATCTAGGGTGTGTTCCAGTTAGGCCTTGTCAATAAAAAATACTTGGACTTAACTGTTCACAGTTTCTGTTTATAAGATTTCTTTTATTAAGACTGTTAAGAGAACTGATAGTACTGATGAACCATTCTAACACGGTAGTTTGCCTTTGGAAAGGGTTCTCTTTAGATTTACTAGATATAGTTAATTTAAGGGAGTTTATGGGAAAGCTTGATAAGTATCTGAATGATAAGGGCTGGCTTTGAGGTTTATTTGTTATTATTATTAAATGTTTAATTTAGTGGGTAGGATGGCCTAGATAGACCAAAAAAAGTCACTCGTTGCCCTTTAAATGTTATTTTTTTAGAGGCAGATTTATTTCTTAAAAATTTATGTTAAATAAACATGTCACTGCATGCAAGTGTTGAATTTTTAATGGATTGAATCTGTTTAGTCTTGTAGTTGACAACACTTTGGTCTGTTCTTCATGATGGAGATATCATCATACAAACCAAAGCTAATATAGCACAAAACTTGTGGCATATGCAATTCAAATATTCCACACTACTACTACTACCTACTCTGCCAAAATCAGCTTTAAAACAAGATAGTGGCATACCAATTAGTAAATATTACCATAACTCAAACATACAACTAGTGGCTATGTATTAAAGTTTTGTACAGTCTCATAACAACAACGACAACATATAAAAAGATGAGGTTTAAGAAAACAAAAATAAATAAGCTAATACAAATAAAAACAACAACAAAAATGTCTTATGTGGCGATATCTCAATAAACCCGATTTTCCAGTATAAAATTTAGGAAAATGTTATATTTGGAAGAAAACAATGACTTGAAACAAGGGGGATGCACACTGTGAGGAGGTGGTGTCATACCTCCACTAAAAGGGTTCTGCTTTCATCAGTTCCCCCTCCCTCATCCAAAATATTAGGATTCAATTTGCTTTTAATTTCTCCCTATACTGACTCCCACTGACGTTAGTGTTAATTTTATTTTAATTTTGGTTGGTCAGGGTAGTCAAGTGTATAATTTGAACCAAAAGAAGTATCTCCAATTAGATTGGGCCTAGGGTATGGTTTAATGGTAGTTTGAAACAGCATCAGACTGCCGTGAATCTGTGCAAATAGGGCCAAACTACTTTTTTATAATAATTAAAAATAAAAAAGGCACTTCTTAAAGATAAAAAAGTGTATTTCTTTTGTTTTAATAACAATTCCCCCCTTCTTCCCCCAAATAAGGCCCGGCATGGCTGGGTGGTTAGGGTGCTCGACTCGCAATCTGCGGGTCGCTGGTTCGAATCCCCATCACACCAAACATTCTCACCTTTTCAGCCATGGGGGTTTATAATGTGATGGTCAATCCCACTATTCATTGGTAAAAGAGTAGCCCAAGAGTTGGTGGTGACTAGCTGCCTTCCCTCTATTCTTACACTGCTAAATTAGGGACAGCCAGCACAGATAGCCCTCGTGTAGCTTTGCGCGAAATCCTTAACAAACCAAACCAATCCCCAAAAATAAAACATCCTAAAAACACCCCTGCTTAAATCACATCTCATCCACATATTTGTCTTTGAGTAATTGAAATTTAATTAAGTAGTAATTAAAACTAAGAAATATATATATATTAGTAAAAAGTATAAAAATTCAAACTAAATTTTACTTCAAGAAGTATAATTAATAAATTATTGCAATAAATTCTTATCTGAATTGATGAACTCATTAAAATTTAACTTGTTGTTTAACTTTACATGCAAATTATAAACAAGCACTTAATCAGATTCTATCATATGAAATTATATATAAACAGAAACTGGTATCAGTATCAGTAAATCGCTAAAGCTACATATGTGTTCTACATTTTATATACAAATTAAAGTACTTCTAACATTTCTCAATGTCGTAAGAAAATCACACTAACCACCAACAAATCCACTAACTAAAGCTCCAATTGGTAGTAAACTAGCAAACCAAGATAAGTCTTCTTTGGTTAATGAAATGTCTGTACCGTTTTCTAGCTTTGGAATCACTGGTGACGAAAACCCCAGAGCTGTTCCTTGAGCCATCGAACCAATCCATGAAGCCAATGCAGCAATATATAGTTTCTTCACTTTATACTTTGAAAAAAGTGTCCTATTTACTTCTCCTTGCACTATCTGCTCATCTAAAACTACTGGTTCCACAGAATAAGCTAATAATGGCGTATGGCTATTATTATCCATAGCTATTGTAGTTATCACCACCTTCACCAGTATATATTAATTCAATGTTATAACGTAGCAAAGTATATAGTACGAACACGATGAGAAACTCAAAGTCGTATAAAGTTGTGACACATCTTAATTAATATGAAATTGGACAGTAAAGCATCATGTGACAATTTTAATAACGATGAAGCCAACACTGAATACGTTAAGCAATCAAACCTGATAAAAAAAGGCAGTTTTTAGTTTTACGAAATTACGCATCTATTGAAACAAAGTATAAAAGCATGGTGACTATAAATACTTTGTTATAACTATTTGTAACTTCATGTTTTGTTTTTCTATTTTAACTGAGATTACATTCGTTCCAAATAATAATTTTCTATCCTATAACGACTACTCACTGAACCAAAACCAAAAAAGTAAGAGAAACTAATTGATGCACCCCCTAGTGATATAATATCCAACTTTTTAAATACAATGTTCTATTTAATTTCTTTTCCCCAATATTATATATATTGATTTCCGAAAAAGTCTCAGTCACTAAAGTTACAATGATTTATTCAGAGTTTAAAATATCATAAAAAATAAACAAACATACAATACAGTTAATCCTACGTATAGAAACCCTTAGTCTAGAACAAAACCAACTCTGCGATTTGTGATGAAATATTGAATCTAAACAAAGATGGGAATGTCACCACCGCTTTCATTAAACTACCATTTCTTTAAACCTACTTTTGTTTCCAGTATTGCTAGAAGTACTAAATATTCAAATTTAACGAGTAAAATATTTATTTATAAATAAAAAAAAACGATGTTACTGAGATTTTCATTTTAATCCGTATGAATGTTTCGTTTTACCGGAGAGTTTAGTACTTTACAACATTATGTGCCCTGAATTCTGTTATTTCTAAAGGAAAGGAAACTAATCAGCAGCACCAAACACGTACTCTTGGGTACTAATAGAATAGTAGGATTTGACCATTACTCTTACGTATAACATACCTACTGCCACAAACTGCAGAGTGCATTTATGCGGCAACGTCCTATACCAAGTATATGGTCGTTGTTGTTTTAGTGGAAGCCATACAAAGGACTATCTATGCTCTGTCTACCGCGTGGAATCGGATCCCGAACTTTAGCGTTGTGAAGCAGTAAACTTACCGCTGACCAACCAGAGAACATTATGTATATCTAATGCTGTTTTATAGTCACAAAAAGGTGGGGGAGTGGGAGAGAAGGCAAGGAACTTTATGCATAGCTTAGGTTACATTTACGAGTTAGACAATATTACGATATTCCTACACTCAAGATAGTATAATTTTGAACTATCTTCTTGAAGAAGAACTACATACAAATCACGACATTTCTTGACGCTTATAACCTTTCGTTACAAACTTACACACAAGGTTAAGACTCCTAACTAAACTGTATACGTTTATTCAACATGGAGACAATAAAAATTCAATCTAGAATTGCCACATATGTAAAAACACTCCAAAGTTTTTACACAAACATCTTGCTTCCTGATTAAATGTTTGAGGAAGATAAGTTCCAACTACCATTAAACTAGAAAAGCTCAAATTCCTAAATTTAATTCTTGCACATATTATAAGTCAATAAATGAATTCCAACACTTTTTCGAAGTAACAATAACGAAGTATCAAAGCATTAAGAATTCTGCAACCTGTTGTCAAAAAAATCGAGATAAGATAAACAACAGAAAGCTTGTTGTGTAATAACAAATGTATATCGTTACTGCCATTTTAAACACCGATAGTGAACAACTTTCAATTTTATTACATTACATAACTCAAGTACCTTCACCAAATTTTCTTAAAAGTTGGGATTCACTAAGCTGGTTGTAACGGATTAAAAAAGAAGAGAAAAAAAACAAACAAAAAAAAAAACGCTGCTACAGAAGACAATTTATTAACAACAGAAATCCAAAATAAAATTCTCAAACAACTGGAATAAAATTTTTTCACAAAAAAGGTCATCAAATACCTGCTTGGCCAGTACTTCATGCCAACGTTAATAGACAACACAATTTAAATGTCAATGTTATTAATTTCAATAATAATAAATTAGGGGAAAAAAGAACCAGAAAACACAATACACCAAAACATCTCAATAACAATAGCGAGAAATTATCAGTAATAATTAATTCTCACCATTTCTCATAAACTAGCTTGTTTTATCATCTGTTAAAAGTGTCGATTTGAAGTCTTCCGAGGTTTTCATTGGAAGGCAACTGCTGTTCTCCTGCGCCCGGCTCGAAGCCACTTGAATTTATAATTTACGATTTTAGGGCTTCAAGTAGTTTCACATTCGACGAATTGTTTTCTGATCTATATAACTACTATTATGATGTGAGAGCCTTTTACAATATGGAGAAGCATGATTATAATTCATTGTATTTGCCACAAGACATTACGTTAAGCCTATTATATTTTTAACATTATGTTCCGTTAGGGATTTTCAGGAATTAGATTTCAATTGGTTGGAGATTATTGGCGCAAGGGGTCTTACCTGCAATTATAATATTATAACCATGCCACCTGATTTTAGGTGTGATGCTTTAGTTAGTCTGTTATGGGTGTGTGTTTTCTTAAATCAAAACCACATCGGACTGTTTGCTGTGTTCACCGAGGGGTATCAAACCCTTCAGTTTAGCGTTGTAAATCCGAAGACTTTTTGTTTGTTTGTTTGTAATTAAGCACAAAGCTACACAATGGGCTATCTGTGCTCTGTCCACCACGAGTATCGAAACCCGGTTTTCGGCATTGTAAGTCCGCAGACATACCACTATGTCACTGGGGGTGGGGCTCCGAAGGCTTACCACTGTCCCATTGGGGGGGACTAGTCTATTCTACACAATACACGTTCTTTAAAATACATATAAACGTATTCCTTATATACAAAATCATTTCTATAAATTCGATGACGAGGAACCCACTTTGAGACTAATAATGGCTGGAGACGGCTTAAATGGGT